AAAGAATAAATATACACCAAAAGCTTCTGGCTGAATGGAGCTACCTCTCTAATCCTTCCAGAACTTGTAGTTATCTAAGAGTAAAGATAAACACAAGTAAAATGTCTTAATTCTGATTCCTTGGGCAAAAAAAAAAGGACAACAATTTCTAGGCTTGTCAATAACAGAATATTATTTTACTTTACCCACAGACTACAAACATAACAATAATAGTTGGACACCAGTGGCTCACGTAATTATAACTGCTGAAGCGGCTGAAATCTGAGGATTGAGATTAGAAAGCTACCTTGGGCAAGAAAGTCCATGAAATCCTACTTATCTCCAACCACCAAAAAGCTAGAAATGCAGCTGTGGCTCAAGTGGAAAAGTACTAGCCTTGAGCAAAAAAAAGCTCAGAGACAGTGCTCTGGCACTGAATTCAAGTCCCAGGGCCAATACACACACACACACACACACACACACACACACACACACACACACACACACACACACACACACACACACACTCATAATATAGTTACCTACAAAATAAACATCCAATGGGAAAATAATAAATTCACGTAAATCTAATTATCAAAGAATGTACAGGTTCTAGTCTTACAAGGAAAAATGGTTCATTTATGCAATCTTGATACTTAAGGTCAATTTAGAAGATGAGGAGAGGTTTGTATTTTCATTGATAGCTTTCATTTGGAAATTGTGGTCACTTCATGTATATCTGGAACAAAGTTTTCTAGCTCATCCAGGTCTAACTTCCAAACTCTGACTTCACATGATTCAGGAATTTGAGAAATTAGCCATGTCATGAAAATTAATAGGAAAGATGCTTTTCTGGAGATCAGATTAAAATGTGCTTTTATTTTCCAAAATAAATAAAAGTTAAAGTAAAATATTATGGTTAATATGATTGCCTAAATGTCTTTAGATTGCTGCCTCAGAATTCAACAATTTTTTAGTTTTGTATCTACGCAGGAAACAATGTGCAAGTAAACTTAAAAGCCTAACCTATTTACAATATGAAGTATATCAGTGATGAAAGATACTTTATGTTTAAAATACTTCCTCATACAAAATGTTAATCACTTTTCAAACAACCCAATATATCTAGTATGTTACTATTTTCCCATAGTGCCACAGTGTGTAAGAAACTTGTCCAAAGTCATATACTCAAGATGGTGGATCCTTGCCGGCGCCAGTGGCCCAGGCCTGTAATCCTACCTACTCAGGAGGCTGAGATCAGGACCACGGTTCAAAGCCAGCCCGGGCAGGAAAGTTCCTGAGACTCTTATCTCCAATAAACCACTCAGAAAACCACAAGTGGTGTTGTGGCTCAAGTGGTAGAGCACTAACCTAGAGCACTAGCCTTGAGCTGAAGAGCTCTGGGACAGTGCCCAAGCCCAGAGTTCAAGCCCCATTACCGGTTTAAAAAAAAAAAAAAAGAGGGTGGCTCTTTATAAGCCTTCACCTTCTAGAAATGCAGTGTGCTTTCCAGAAGACAACTCAAATCCCATCTCTCATAGAGATAGCTTCTTCCTTTGACCACAGTGTTTTTTTCTTTTCTTTTTCTTCTTCCCATATAAGTAAACACATTTGGAATCAGAAGATTTAGTTTGGGTTCTACTTGCTAATTTACTATCTGTGTGAGCCCAAGAACTAAAGTAACCATAGCAACCATTTAAACACTAATTTCCTAATTAGTATAATAGAGAAAATTGAATATATGCCATATAACCATTTGAAAGCCTAACTTTGATAAAATAATAAGAAATGGATGATATGACATGTAAATCCTTATATAAGACTAATATATAGGCATAAACGTACATATATATATGCATATACATGCACACACATACTCACACATAGCCTTTCTTATGTACCAGATAGGGATGGCTCTGTATTTCACAAATATTTGATACATTCACAGCGCTCAGTGGTACTTCACAACCTTCACAACCAGAATGATAAAAATTTCAAAAATGATCAACCTATGACTATACTAATCAAGTTATATTTCACAAAGTAGAATTTTCATCTGTACTTACTAAAAGTGAAAGGTAAAAATATGATTTCACCTCTCCAAACCTCATTGCCCATTTCTTTCTCATTGTTCCAGCTAACTTAGATTTATCCCCGCTATCCTAAATACACTGTGCTTTTTTATCTGGAAATCTTGGCTCAAATATTACCATTTGTCATGTCTTTTATCTGTTGGAATAGCACTCACCCTTTATATTCCATCTCAAATGTCACTGTCTCTATAAAAATTCCCATAACCTTATCCACTGGAGATGAGCACTTCCTACTCTCAATTCCTTAATATTTTTCATATCTCTCACTGCTTTTATTATCTGAAAACAAATTATCAGTGCATGTATTGTCTAGTTGAGTATGCTTGATGAATACTAATATCATCAGTCATGTTATAATTGTATTTCAGGTCTATTAAACAAGTAGTAGAAGTTTTTCCATACAAAAGTATGGATGTAATATCTTTCTTTAAATAGTGGGTACAAATAATATATATGGCTGAAATCACTAGCTCCATAGTTTTGCCTTATGAATTGCCATCCAAATATGACAAAGCCAAATATTTGATGATGTTATCTTCTATCATTGGAACTCATTATATTCCTATAAAGATAGTTTATTATGGGCAGAAACATACTTTTACCAAAATTTAAAAAGTTACTTGTATACTTCTAAAAATGCTTTATAATCTGATCTCCATAATTCTAATGCAGCACCTTCTTATCAACTGTACATTTTCAATTATAGAATGGCTTGTTTAAGTATATGAAATAGACAATGTGACTTACTATTAGAAAACCAAAAGATATTTTAGTTTTGAGTTTTAATTCTGTATATTTTACACATGTCATTATAATACCCAAATTAACATAAAAGTTAAAACAACATTAATCAGTCATTACAATAACATGGATTTCATTTATAAAAAGAGTACATAGGGCTGGGAAGGTGGCTCAGTGGTAGAGCAATTGCCTTGCATGCTCAAGGCCCTGGGTTCAATTCCTCAGCACCACATAAGCAAAAAGAAAAAAGCCGGAAGTGGTGCTGTGGCTCAAGTGGTAGAGCGCTAGCCTTGAGCTGAAGAGCTGAGGAACAGTGCCCAGGCCCAGAGTTCAGGCCCCACGACCGGACCCAAAAGAAAAAGAAAATAAAAAAAAAAAAAAAGAGTACATAAACCTCATTTCTCAGGGATATTTAGATCATATAGCCTTCACTGCCTGTGTCAGTTACTTCCTAGATTTTTGCAGATATCATACACAGACACCCCATTACCTGCTGTCCTCTTGGTGGGCTAAACATGACTTCTTATCAACTGTGAGCCAACAGATGTCTTTAAAAGAACAAAAAAAAGTACCCTCATAAACTTTTACATCCTAAATATCTTTATACTTGTTTTACTTATAATTATTCCATGTTCACTATGTAAAAATCTCAACTCCAGAGAATGTCCTAGTTTTTCTATTGTTTTGTGGAAACTTACTTGTTATTGTTACTATTAGTTTTGTTTTCTTTTGGCTCTTTCCTCTAGAATATCCCCAAATATTACTTTATCGCAAGCCTGTAAGTGCTGAGTTCACGTTATCTGAGAACTATTTCTGATCTTTAGTTTTAAATAACTTTGTGCTCCTCCGTGTCAATATAAGTCCTTTTATGATCTGATAGATAAGTAGCTTACCTAGATATTTGTGATCTCCTAGAAGATACATATTAAGGCTCAACCTGCTCTGATGACTTCTTTCTGTGGACTGATTTATGCTGTGATTAATAACTATTAACTAATGGGGAAGCATACTCTCATTGGGTTTATCAGAATCAGCAGCTGAGAAGAGGGATGCACAAATCAAGGATTTATACTCAATTTTATATTAAAACTATATTTAGAATGTTAAAATATTGTCCACTTTCTTTCTCAACACAAATATGATCTGGGTTAAGAGGATCAAAATTTGGTCAATTTAAAAATTAAAGCCACATATATATACACAATGGAATTCTATGCCTCCATCAGAAAGAATGACATTTCCCCATTTGTTAGGAAATGGAAAGGCTTGGAAAAAATTATATTAAGTGAAGTAAGCCAGGCCCAAAGAAACATAAGTCCCATGGTTTCCCTTATTTGCAATATCTAGTATAGGTATGAGTCAAGCGGAAAAAGTCAGATAATGTGATGTTAGGAAAACGAAACCTCAAATATGTATTTTAATGTTTTTGTTTCTTTCATGCATGTGTTTCTAACGCATTTATAAGATTATTTCTTTGTTGCTTTGTATGTCCCTCCCCCACAGTGTAACCCCCGCTTTCACTATATTTGATGTCAGTATAACATGTGGAGGAGATGGGGACAAACAAGTCGTTTAAGGATTCAGGTGGACCTGTTGCAACAATGAGAAGTACAAAATGTCATGTCAAAACCAGCTTTACAATGTCGGTGGGGGGGGGGGGTATGATTGGGTGGGAGGGAGGGGGGAGGCTGGGAAGGGAGGTGAAGGGTAAACAAAGGAGGAGGCTGCAATGCTTGGTAAGAAATGTATGCATTATCCTGCCCATGTAATTGTAACCCCTCTGTACAGTATGTTCTCAAATAAAATAAAATAAAATTAAAAAAAAAAAATTAAAGCCACATCATGTTATGGCAAGTAACAAGTAATGCTGAGCTAACAAAAAGAATGAAATGAGCAGGAACTGAGTAACTTTTAACCAATTCAGGCTTGTTTTATGCAAAATTTTCAGAAACTGACAGTATTTGGGACTTATTACTGAAGAAAATATAAAAACATTTACAGCTGATACAAAAAAGGAAGGATGCAGAGAAGGAAAGAAGGAAGAAAGGAAAGAAGGGAAGGCAAAGAGGAGGGTTAATGGAGGAAAGAAGGAACTAAAAAAGGATTATCCTGTGATAACTTAAGCACCATGTACGGAAGGTGATGATGTGCTTTAGGAACATGGACTAAGTAAATTAATGCACTCACCTCAGTTAAATGAGGATTGGGGTTAAAGCCACAGAAACTACAGACAGTGGTTTGACACTCAGTGCATGTGTTAAAATTGGCCTTTTCTGGAACATGCAACAGAAGTTCAGTGGTATTGCAAAGAGGACAGATGGTTTTAGAGAGGCTTTGTACTGGAGTCTGTGCCACAGATGGAGAAGTCGTTGGTAGTTGTGGAGGTTTCCCAGTTACCATTTGGCTTGCTGGTTTTGTCGATTGTTGAGCAGAGGGCTTGGCTGGACCAGGTGGTTGATCAATGGGCTTTGCCAGTTCAGGTTGTTGAGGTGGGAGCTTTGCCGGTGCAGGCTGTTGAGGGGGGAGCTTTGCTGGACCAGGCTGTTGCGGTAGAGGCTTTGCTGGGCTACCCTGTTGAGTGGAAGGCTTTGCTGGGCCTGGCTGCTGAGTAGAAGGCTTTGCTGGACCTGGATGTTGAGTAGGTTTTACTGGGCCAGACTGTTGAACTTGGGGTTTTCCTAGGCCTGGCTGTGGAGCTGAAGACTTCATTGGTGCAGGTTGCTGAGGAGGAGTCTTTGTGGGCCCAGACAACTTAGCTGGAGACTGTTGAGCTGGCATTTTTGGTGTCGCCAGTTGCTGGGCTGGGGACTTTGCTGGCCCTGACTGCTGAACTGGAGTCTTTCCAAGCCCTGGAGTATGAACTATAGATTTTGGTCCAGGTTGCTGAGATGACTCAGCCTGCTGAGTTGGCTTTATGGTTCCCTGTGGCTGGACTGGGGGTTTCACTGCCTGTTGAACTGGGGGCTTCGCTAGCCCTGGCTTTGCAGGTGCAGGCTGTGGTTTATCAGATCCAGCAGTAGGTTTTCCAAGGGTGGCTTGCTGAGTGGATGGTTTGGCTGGGCTTTGCTGTGAGGGTTTACCTGATTCTCCCCTTGTAGTATCTGACTGTTTAGTCTGAGGCATGGTCGAATCCTGTTGAAGTGGAAATTTTGCCTGGTCTGACTGAGAAAGCTGGGGAGGCCCCTGGATAGGTTTTCCTGTAGCAGCAGGTTGTGATTTAATTTTTTCTGGTGGTTGAGAAGATACTGATTTGGGAGAGGCATCCTGCGGAACCGAGTCCCTAACAAGACCTTGCTGCTTAGTATGTGGCTTGGGCGATTGTTGTGTTGGAGGTTTTGTGACCCCTTCAGGTTTTCCTTGCTCCTTCTGAGCTACTTTCGGCTTCTTGGTTTCTTCCTGGAATGCCTCAGAGTCTGATATCAAATCAAAAGGGTTGAATTTATTTACAACAGAGGAGACAGCACTTAAAGGGTTAACCTCTGAGAAGAAACCAGGCATCATACTAGACTTGTGCTCTTCCTTCAGATCAGTTCTGGACTTTGATTCTCTCAGGCTAATAGTGGAAGGACTCCTTCCAGGCAATTTCTGGTCTGACCTGAAAGTGTCTGTAGTTCTACTTTTACTGAGACCAGGCTGAGCTGGACGCCCAGGATCTGGTGGTTTTCCTGGTTGCTTTGGAGAGCGACTGCTATCCAACTCTTGTTTCCTGGAAGAGAAAAGGAAAAGTGAAAATGGTGTAAGTGACTTCAAATCTAGTATATTACAAACTACTGCTTTCTTACATCCTCAAAATTATGAATGCACAAGAGTATGCAGAAAGAATTTTAATGCTTTTGTTACTTTTATAAGTAAAAATTTTCAAGAAGGAAGTAATGAAAATAAAAATTAATATAGTTAAAATGCAATAAAAGTAATGTAAATATACTAAATAAAATACTTAAAACCCAACTGAATATAAATTAAGGTTAAAGCCTTAATGAGTCAACATAATAACATATTGCAGTACATATGTGATCGCCAGTATATTTATTGCAATTAAAACTTATGTTCAAAGAAAATCTCCTAAATACCAGTAGCAGCAAGAAATAAATTATTCAGACTGCTGCAATTCCTTTTTACTTAATTTTGAGAATTTATATTAGTTACCTAAAGTACACAATGTGACATGAAAGAAGCTTTCAGTAATAGAGGTTACATGATACCTTCCTAGGGATGCTAGGGAAATTGGTAATACTCAATTATCCTCTATTCTCTTAGAAAAGCAATATCCATCAAATACTATCCTGAGTGGACTTTGCAGAATAAAGGTTTCTACTTTCTCAACTTAAAACATTCTTGAGAAATAAAATGAATCTTTCTTATGCAAGGCCAATATTATTTCTAAAAGCTAACTCAAAATCTGATATCTCTATGCAAAGTAAGAACAGATTCACCTAGAGTTATAGCCTGATATCTAAACAGCCAGTGTGACCCCATCTTTGAAAAGTACCATTACTGTCCTTAGATGAAGAATATATATCCAAAAGTCTAATTCAAGCAGTTCTACATCATTTCTTAATGCCATTAATATATTATCAGCAATCATATTGTTACTGATACTAATATAAATATGTGACAGGCAACAAATATGAAGCATTTCTCTTAATTCAGACAAATATACTAGATACTTTTTATTATCACCATGGAAGAAATCAAGTAAGTATTCTGTTGATTCATATTATATCATAATTTTGGAAAAAGGATGTTTCCTTTTAAAATAAAGATAAGTAAATAATAGCTCAGTAGCACATATGAGATTACCACAATATAGTTCTAATGTATTAATTCAGTATTTACATATTAAAGTGTCTGACAACAGATTTTAATTTCTTTTTTTTTTTCTCCTGTCAGTTGTCGGGCTTGAATTCAGAGCCTGGGCATTACCCGTAAGCTTTTCAGCTCAAGGCTAGCACTTTATCACTTTCAGCCATGGCTCTACTTCCAGTTTTCTGGTGGTTAATTGGAAATGAGTCTCATGGACTTTCCTGACTGGGTTAGCTTTGAACCAGGATCATCAGATCTCAGCTTCCTGAATAGCTAGGGTTGCAGGCATGAGCCACTAGTGCCCAGCTTTTCTTTTTTCTTTTTTTTTTTTAAAGTTTCTGACACTATATACTATGAATCAACATTCTCAGAGCTACTCAAATGATGTAGAAAATTGAGCACAGATCACAGCCTAAAACATAATAAAAATTAGAAGAGAAGCATTATTTATAATTAGCGAAGACTAGGAAAGAAACTAATATATAACTGATAATGTGTGAATGAAATAATATTCTGATTTTTTAAAAATAAATAGAGATAAAGGGCTCAAGCTCACTGGTAAAGCATTGGCTTAGTCTATTCAAGCCTCAACACCACCAAAACAAAACAACTACAAAAACAAACAAACCAGAATACAGAATTCTGAGTTTGAGTTTCCTCTTGGAAAAAGGTTACAAAGTGTAAATATTTAACTATATCTCTGAGGTGTCAGAGAGACAGGGAAGTAAAATGATTTCTCTAGTTAATTCTAAGACTTCTGATTTTAAAATACATAGCACATATTTCCCTCTGGGAAAAAATAATTCCGAATTATTTTTGTGGACTCGCTATGTAGTATATTCCATAGCAAAGTAGTAGAGCCACAATAAAAGTAGGTTATATTCAAACAGGTTCATAATTCTCATGCTGACACTATTCCAAGAATATTCTACATTGTTAATATATTGTTAATATAATTGTTAATATGTTAATATAATTTTTCCCTTGACAAATTATTAGAGCTATGATTCTAACTTCCATATAATTACTTAGGCAATTTACTGAATTTGTTCCCTCTTCAGTATCTTTGAAACTTATCTTTAAATGGAAATTCAAACAAATCTATTCTTAGTTTGCCTTTCATGAAAATATTTATATTAACCAGTCTGTAAAATAGTTTTACTTAACCCAACATATGTGCAAAACAAAAAAATAAACTTTATAAATGACAAATATTCTTGCCAATAGTAAACATCATAATCAAAAGCAATCAGTTTGCACTGCACATTATAATAGCATGTATTTTCCATAAATAATATGTTTTATTATATTAGAGAACCTCCTTGTTAGAAAAGACTTCTGGTACCACAAAAGACTTCCACACAATTTAAACTTAACTGCTAAAATTATGTAAATAAAATTAAAACACGAGAGATCTAAGGGTGAGAATTAGAAAGAAAAGCATTTAGTGAATAGATCAGCTTTAAGACTAAGGAAGTGTCAAGGTGCCTTAGTTAACTGTGGTCTTCTGAGTTATATTTTGCATAACCGTGATTACGTTACAAAGAAAAATCACTAAACTGCAATCTATGTTTTAAATTCACTGGTCTTGAACTCCTATTTTCTTACCAATCTATGTCTCATACACTAATCTTTGAACTCTTGCCTACTTTCATCCCTACAATTAAACCTGCCAAGTAGGATATATTTGACGAATTAATTTAAAAAATGGGTGCTTCACATTGAACAATGAATGAACCTATCAGGTTTTTGCTATACACACTAGATTAATGTTTCCTAATTCTTCTTGCTTCAAGTTCTTCTACAGGTCTTCTAAGATACTACCATATAGATTTTAGCAGTGGGTCTTTGTGGATGGTTATTAAGTAGGCAAGACCCAAAGGAATACTGAATTCTTACAACATGTTCTATAAAGTATCCTATCAGAAAGGTTATGCTTTAACCATTTACATATGTTACATCTAAGGCTGTCAGTAGATTTAACAGAAGAAACACAATTACACTTTGCTGGATCTACAATAAACTAACAATCTAGGAGTTTTGTACCTTGTCTCTTACTTCTAGCTTGCATGTTTAATACAATCACCGTTTTCATTTTACTATTGCTAATCCCAGATTAGATTTTTCCTTCATAAAGCTGTAGGAAAAAATCTCTGAGATAAAATGAAACAATTAGATATGCAGGTTTAGAAATGCAAAAGCAGCTGCAAAGATAAAATATTTTAAATGTAACATCATAGTCACTGATACTTAATTTGACAGTGCTGAGTCATAAAATCCTACATTTTAGAAATATAATTAACTAGCAATAGCTACTCATTTTTATACTAAAGAAGATAGACATGAAGAGTCAGGTGATTAATTCAAAGTCATGAAAATAGTTACCCTGAGAATTATGTCATTCTAACTCCTATTCAGGCGTGGAATAGAACTGGGAGTGTTCCAATCCATCACACTAATTTAGCCACAAATAAATAAATAAATGTATATATGCACATATATCACATATTACTGATAATTCAACACATAACTTTCCATATTTATTACTAACAGTTATCTATGGTTGATATAGATATTTGTATTGATAAGATTACTTTAAATTAAATATTAAAGTATCACCTTTGATTTTTAATTGATCCTTATTAATGACTCTTTAAGACAAGTAAAACAGTTATTACTTGCCTTACCAACAAGGAAAAAAAAGCATATATTGGTTTAGAACTTCATATTAATTTACCATAAATCAGCTAAAATCATTAAGAATCTATTTCTTTGAACTGCCAATCCTTATCTCTTTAAAGCAAAATATAAAACCTACCAAGTCCAAGTTACATCTCTTAAACACTTTAAACACCAAATACTTCTTAAGTATATGTACATATATTAAATTAGCTTGATATATACATATGTGAATATACATGAACTAACATCTGAAAAGTCTATATAATAAATGTTTCTTTGTTATCATATATTGGGATAACTTTTTTAAGTTATGTTCCTTTAACAGAAATCTTTCAGTAAAACACAAATGTGTTAAAAAAAAATCAGAAGCTTTGTTTTGACTATTTGGAAAGAGCCTGGTTTAGGCTATAAATAAATTACCAATAAAACCTCCACCATAACAAATTATGAATGGAGAGCTTTGAAGGTATATTATCTTATACAAATTCTACATAAAGCCAACAGTATAACAGGCTGAAATAGCTTTCATAGCCCTTTGGATAGAATTTAAGAACCTAAAACAAAGATCACACATTTCTTGCTATCTGTAACAACTATTTTAGACCTGTTGCATGTTCCTCTTTGAAAAAATTATAGGAAGTCTGGCATTCATATTTTTAAATCCTAATAAACACTGTACCTTGCTACTACTCTAAAATATTCTACTAAAAGAAGTTGTTTCCCATGTCAAGTTTTTATCAAGTGGAAAAAAATAGCATGTTGTAAAATATACTAGTTATACAGTAATGGACGATATAGGCTTTAACATCAGGAAATAGACCCAATATAAGCTTTAAAACAGTGGATAATATAGCTAATATAAAGGGATTAAACTTTTACAAAGTGTGGTCTTTTTTTCTTTCGAGATAAATAAGGTTTTTACCTGACAGATTTTTAACATGTAAAATATCATGTAAACATATTCGGTATCCATAAAAATGTAATATATTATATATTACATATATTTCAATATTACAGTATCTGACAAGATATGTACTTGCCCATTTGCATCTAAATTTAAAATATCTTTATTTCAGCAAGTAGAGAACTTTGTCCTTATATATGCAGGTTTTTCACATTATCAATATATCAAATAAAAACTGTAGATTTCCTTCCAGTAGTCAAACCGAAGAGGTTTCAGGACCATGGAAAGAGAATTTGCTCTGCCGAAGGGTATAAAGGGTAACTTGTTTACAGTAATAAAAGGCAAAGAAAGCAAAATGATTATACCCTCCTAGGGCTCTAACTGAAAAACAAATGATTTATTGGGAAGTAGGAAAATGAAAAGTTAGAGAGGAAATTAATGTGTTAATATGCAGATTAGCTTTTATAATTGCCGTTGCACGTTGTCATCCGTTTTTCTTTTAAAATTCTGTACTGAAAGCAAATATTAAGGTAATACAAACTCACAAGTTCTCCCATCTACTGAAAGTCACTTTTGCATAAAAAAGAGCAATGTTTTTTTAAATAGCATATGCTAATTCAGAAATACAAGCACAGCACCTGCTCTGCTGTGACCAAACCATCTGTTTAATGTCACAACATATTTTAAGGTCTCTAACTAAGGTGGATTCCTTCAATGTCTTTTACCTAAACAGCTTACTGTTCTCCTTTGGGGATGAGGCGGTGAGAAAAGGCACAACTCACTTCCAGGTGGATTAAAGGCATTGTAACCGGAATATTTAGACATCATCAACAGAGCAAAAGACCCAGCACTGCTATAAAGGAGATTTAAGCAGAAACAGGTAAACACCCAAACCCAGCTCTATCCATTTCCCAACACGTCTGGGTTGTATTAATGGAAGGTTTCCAGATTAGTAAAACACTGGGGGGCGTCTCTCCACACCATCCTTGAGGGGAAAAGGTTTCAAAAGGCCAAAAAGAAAAAAAAAAAAAAAAAAAAAGAAAGAAAGAAAAAAAATCACAACCTGAAAAAAAAAGAAAAATAAAAATCACAGTTGCAGGAACGCCACCCCTCTGACTATCCACCAGCAGCTCTACACTGCACCGGGTCTCTCTGATTTCTTCCTTTCTTTTTTTCTTTTTTTTTTTTTTTAAAGAAATTCTACCCATTCAAGGCTCCCGACCGTTCTGGCCACCCCATCCGCGAAAATACAATCGACCGGGGAGGGCGACATATGTGTGCCGCCGTTCGGGCACACATGTGCGCGGCAGCGGAGCTGCACATATATGCCTGGACAGAGACATCATGCGGTGCGTGCCTGGGCATGGAAGGCGACTCCGCAGCGGCCGGGGGGCCGCCTCCCCTGGGCAGCCCCTGCGCCCTTGACATGACAGCGGCGATCTGCCTCCGCTCCTCCTCGCTCAGCTGGCTCAGGTCCGCCTGCATGCCCGCCGGGATCGCGGCGTGCGAGGGGCTCCCGGGGCCGCCCGCCCCTCCTCCGGCCGCCGCCGCCGCCGCCGCCGCCGCCAGTCCTTCGGGGAGCCCTTCCCCTTCCAAGCTCGCCTCGTTGCCCATGGCTCAGGCTCAGGCTCCGGGCCGCCGCCGCCGCCTCGAGCTGCTGCGTCCGGGTGGAGAAGCCCGCGGCCGGCCGGCCCCGTGGAGCTGCGGGAGCCCCGGTCCGCCCCGGGGCGTGCACCGGACCCCGCCGCCCCCCAGATCGCCGGGTGGGCAGGGGATTAGTCCCGTTCCCAGGTGACGCCCGTGGCTGCTGTCTCCTCCATGTTGGACAGCGCCAGGCAACCTTTGCAGGAGATGCGTCCCCTCCCGGACGCCGCCTCAACGTCCCCGAAGCCTGGAGAAGCCGATCTGAGCGCTGCCAGCCGGGCGCCGTCCGCCCCTCCCACCGCGCCCCGCCCCTCCGCCCGCGCCCTCCGTGCGCGCAGGCGCCACGCCGAACAGGTGATGCTCGCGTGCCACGCCCACCCCACTCTGCGTCGCTGGTAGCTTTCTGCACTCTCTGCAGTGATTTAAAGGAGCCCGGCGAGAGCAGCCCTGGGAAGCGGGGCGAGCGAGCTGACGTTTCTTTCAGGCATATTTCAAGATACCTCAACTTGAGTTTTAGCGGGCTACATAAGAGGGATGAGGAGGAAAGCAAGCATGGGGGGAGGTGTCTTCCCAGCTTTGGCTCTTGGGATTTGTAGTTTCCTTTTATTATTATTGTTATTATTACCTGAATTTTAAATTTAATTCTATATTATTGTAAAGGTGTTGTAGTTACATAAGTAAGGTATTGATAGCATTTCTTTTCGAACATTGCTACCTCCCTCGTTTTCTCCCACTTTCCCCTCCCTCCGACTCCCCTCCTGTCCAAGTTGTAAAGTTCGTTTCCAACATAGTGTCGTGTGAGTATTACTGTTGCTTTGAGTCACCCTTTGGCTTTTGTCTCACCATTTTGTGATGGGAGGGAAGGAATAAAGGGAGGGAGTTGAAAGATCCTAGGAAAGGTTCCAGGAAACTAGCAATTAAACATAATACCTGTTCATATATTTGAGGAACATTTCCCAACAGGGGCTTAGAATGACATTTATCATTGAGAACTTTCCCAGAACAATTAGATATTTGATATTATACAATACTGACAAACAGGTAAGGGTTTTGAATGCTCATAGCTTATGCTGCTACCTGAACAGACTACACAAAAGGATTATGGCAAAGTTTGCACGAGGGGAACTATAGTATAATCTAGATTGCTAAATAGTAAATGTTTTAGTAATGTGAGGCGTTGAAGAAATAATTTCAAGCTGCTCCATTTTTCAAAATAAATTACAACTGTGGAGAGAAAAGCTTAAAATAAAATTAGCATGAATCAGATAGACAGTGTATTAGCAGAAATATAAAAGCTACATTTTCAAGACTCTCCTTTCCTTTCTCTGCACACACTTCTGCTGTTTCTTTTCTTAGACGACGACTGACCCAAGTTAGCATAGGCCTACAGATTCCATGCTAACTGTATTACCTATTTTTTCTCACAGTATGGATTTAATATTTCAATGCTTGAGGTTAAAGGGAATCAATCAAAGTCTAACAACCGGAAACAAACAGAAATGAGTGAGTTCCTCAAGAAGTAAGTTTCCAAGTCTTTGAAATAATTATCATGTCCAAAATGTTTTCCATTTGTATTAACACTAAAAAAATGCCACAGCTATAACAATTCATGACTACATGTGCTCATGTTCCAGATGGCTACTCATCAGATGAAGTTGCATGAACTTTAATTCTCTGATAGCATATTAGAATATGAATTCCCACTGCAGGAGTCATTCACTGAAATAGCACAGTGAATGTGCTCATGTCATACAATCTAAACAGTTTAGGCAACCCAACTTTCAAAGGCCATTGGAAGGCAAATACAATATACTCATAGGTCTTAGAAATGAGTTTGCTTCAGAAAAGAGCACAATTTGGGGCATAATCAGGAACATACAATCTTGTCTTACAAAATAAGTAGCTGCTGGTCCATGGTCTGGACTGCTTAATCAGTCTGGATGTAAGGAAACAGGAAGTGTTCCACATACTGGTTGTATTCTCATTATATGATCCGATTTTGTTAGAATAAAATAATGTTCAATGCATTTTATATATATATATATATATATATATATATATATATATATATATGAATGAACTGGAAACTTCAAATGCTGAGAAGATGCAGCTGGGATGTAGCTCAGTGGCAAAGCACATGCCTAGCAAGTGCAACGTCCTGGGTTTGATCCCAAGTACTAAAAAAGAAAAGACAAAAGAAAAAAATAGAACTGAGTAGATGAAATTGAACTCAGTAAAATAAGAAAAAATGGGTAATAATATGCAATGTTAATAGAGTAATAACAAGTAATTTGTAAAGTAATAATGTTCCATCGTCCATTTTGCAAAGATATGCATCCACATTGTGCTTCATTCCTCTCAACCAGGAGAAAACATTACCAGAATACAGAATAGTGAATGGGTGGTGGGAAGAGTAAATGGATGATGAAATGGGAGATCTGATCATGATGGCACTTTTGAAATATTTTGATTATTGGCTTTTAAACATTATTTTTCCTTAAGCAACATTATAACTGAGTTTTAAATAACTGTGTGGATTAAAGTTACTTGTGCTATGATCGGATCTGAGGATAAATATTAAAACAAATCCAAATGTACTCCTTGTGAGTTTTTAGAAATCTAAGATACAAGACAGAGTAGTCGACTGCTGCAGATAACTTTATGGAATTTCTTCTTGTTTACACAGCAAAAATATTACTAGTTTCATTCTATGAATAAGTAGTGCTAAATTCAAATTTTGTTTCGCTCTTAATTCAGTATATAATAACTCTATTGATTATTTTTAAATTTGGATTTAACTCAACACACCAGTAGTTCAGACCTAATTTAATCAGCCTGATCATGGGGGGAAAATCTATTTCTGAAAATCCCTGATATATACATTATGTCTATTTAAAATGGCAGCTTCAGGGAACTAAAAGTTTTCAGTTAAATTTTATCTCAGTCTGTGAGGTTGCTTCTAACTTAGAAAATAATAACCAATGTAAATATAATAGATAAGAACTAACATAACTAGAGAACAATACATTGGAAGGAGATAGGCCGGTCTACCCAAGATTTTGCAGGTTAACATTTATCCTAAGATTAAATCAAAAGGTCATCTCTGTGTTGCCATATATGAAAATACCTATATTAAGGACTATGTAAATACTGAATTAAAATAGCTTTCAAATATAGAAAAATGTGTAGGCACAGTAGTTCTTAAATACCTACAATTCAATCATCTTCATACAATTGATTTTTGCTGATTTTATTTAAAATGATAGCTAGCACAGCTACTATACTAGAAAGTAATGTATGACCTAAATATTAGATAATTTAATATATATTAATTACGCCTCTCCTGAAACTGCTATCACAATAATGCTAGTGAATATTTTGTAAGCAAGACCTTTTCATAGAGTGAACTTAACAGGATAAATAGATTCAGGCTTTCTGGACAATCATTTACTGATTCTTGTTAATAGCCTTCAAAAGATATTCAATATGTTATTATTTCTGGAAGTACTTCCTGAAGAAATAATTTTAGTTACAAAAAATTTCATGTGGTTATTGTTTGCAATAAAAATGTAAATATTAAATATTGAAGATTAGAAAGATAAAATCTGATACAACTAGGAATAATATTTTTGAGGTTTGTTAAAATAATGTTTTTGAACAGCTCATTATAAGAGAAAATTTCACAGAAATGTATATTTCAAAATAGATAAAATGTCAGAAAGTTATATAATCATAAATATTCAAAAATTAAAATAACATTAAACTACTAATATTCATGCCAAAAAACCTTCATTAAAAATTTCATCAAATTAACAAGCAAAGCCCATATATATTTTATGAGTAATCTTTTTAAATTTTCCCTAATTTTCAAATTTTTCCAAGTGAATTTGTAGTATTCCTTTTAATAATATACAACACCAGTAATGATTATTAACCATTTTTACAAACAACCAAAATGAAGCCACAGTTAAACTATGGACCAAGAATGATGACTTTTGAAACAGTTGCACTATAATACTTAAAAAGAATTAGAAGAGAGAAAAAAATACAGTAAGTAATCCAACAATGTTTTCAAGTAATGTAATGAGTGATAAAATTCAAACTTATTTTTTGTTCTGATATTTGAAAGTCCATGCAATTTGTGCACACATAGGTCTGTAAGTTTGTGTTATGTAAAAATTGACTCCATAACTGATCATTTTTATATATGCTTGAATACAGATCCTTTACTAATGTTCTTTCTCTAGTGGAAGGGAAGTGGTTCACCTTCCAACACTTCATGTTCTCTGATGGCTGAACTACTTCTGTTTCTCTAAGCCATTTTTGTTCACTATACTTCAAAGTAAGATTTACAGCTAAAATTTACAGAGAAAATTTAGTGACTGAGAATTACAGTTGATTATGAAGTGTTTTCTCCATCTCGAGGGAATGTAATAAGACAATTTTTAGAGAAAAGTTTGCTAAGTGTGTTTTTCTTTTAATTCTGACATCTGATAAATCTATTATTTCCTTTTATACTTATTAAAAAGTAAATCCATAATTTAAGTAAAAGAAAAAATTACATTCCTAGAGACATGATAGATAAAAGATTTGATATATAGTTCTTATTTTTAATAAAAATATATCAATAAATCATATGCTATGACTTATATAATAAAGTATTATTTATTCAGCAGTTTATAATTGCTTTAGTATATGCTTTGAAAAATAGGAAATATATACATCTTATTCTTTATGTTTTTATTTTCTTTTGTATTGAAAAGGTGATGAACAGGCGGCTTACAGTTACATAGGTAAGGCAATAAGTACATATGTTTTTAATCATTGTTACCCCATCCCTTTTTATCTCCCACTTACTCCTCCCTATCCCTCCCCCCAAGTTATAATGTTCATATCCAACAGTCTCAAGTGAGTATCAATGTAGCTGTGGTTCATCCATTGTTCTGCTGTTTCTGTAATTCCTTTTCCCT